CCCATTGCATTCCCATAGATGCTCAGAGGAAACTGAATAGACTCCTCATTTTCATACACTTCTCTCCTCCTATTTCTTCATGGAATTTCCATATTTTTGAGAACACTCAGTGCTCATTCTGTTCCTTCATTAGCTTATATGCAACCAGCCAGTCCTTTCTGCTTTCAGAGTTGAACAGGCCACTCACAAACCTTTGAATTTTGACCTACTAGCCTCCTACCATAGACCCTGGCATGTGGTTTCAGTCTCTTGCAATTGTGCTTGTATACCTCACACCAGAAGACATGATTGGTATACGGGGCTCTGCATCTCTGTGCAGTTTAATGCAAGTTCTTCCAGCAAAGAATGGGATTCAAGTCAGAAAGACCTGAGTTCGAATCCCACTGTATTAATTTCTAGCTGTCTGGTGTGGAGAGAACTATTTAATTTCTCTGAACAACAGTTCTTTTATCTGTACAGTGATGCTTCCAAGCTTTCTTCCAGGGTTGTGACTATTAAAGAAAGCATGTGCAAAAGTGCTCAAACAATACTGGCATCTAGTACACATTCAAAACTTTGATCAAAGGAAAAGTAAAATCATAACCTTTCTCTTTTAACACTTCATTTAGTTATCACATATTGAATATTTATTTCTCATGTATGATTCCCCTCCCCCTCCATTTTAGTTTGATTTTCCTCAATGTACTTTTTGACATAATTTTTTGGATGATGTGAATTATTGTTAAATGTTAGTTACTGCTCTATCTCTCTTTTAATGACTGATTAATCACCTGGCTTTAATTTTCACTCTAGCGTATGTAAGGACCAGTGTTACACTTATAAGCCGTGGAAGTATGCAACGTGTGGTAGCTAATCCCCAATTCACGGTGTTCCACTGTGGGTATGGTTTCCGTAAAACAAGACGGATGCTGCCTTCTGGACCCTGAAGGGACAAATGCGAATCTCCATCTCAGTTCTTACAGGAGAAGTGAAGTGTTGAAAATTATATTCAGCTGCAAGAGTTTTCAGCCTCACATTCAGAAAGACAGAGCAGAAGTTGCTAGAGGCTATTTTCAGAGAACTCCTAATAAGTATAGAACCAAAATACAGACACGGTTGTTAACACCCTGGGAAATGCCAAATCCGAGCTGGATCTCAGCCAGCAGAGAAATGGAAAGTCCTAGATAGCTTATCTCGGAGCAAATCTGTATTATGCAGAAGGTGTGAGATGCAATTATACAGGAGAATGAGCGCGCTTCTTCTCCGCTCTGCACCCGCTCCTTGGAACCGCCAGGATCGAAGTGTATTTGGCATTTTCTAAATCTGTTTTCCGCGAGCAGCTCAGTTGCCCTGGCCTCTGTTTTTTCCTATGCTTCTGGCTTTCTTCTTTTATACTCGACCCTTTCTTCCTCTTCCAGCTCATTTGTGCCCATCTATATCCCTAAGCTAACAACTTCTCAGTATGTATTAAATATTTCTAGCCTTATAAGTTTTTTTTTTAAATTTCAGACACCCCCCCCCCCCGCCTTTAAGTTCCCCACAGACTGCTAAACTTACCATATCTTTCTCTACCTGTGTCCTTCAGCATTTGAGCTCAAGTCCTCTGTCAGCTCGGAGCTTTTCCTCTTTAAAACAGTGTCTGACAAGAATGGAATTATTGCTGCTGCTGCTTCATTGCTAAGTCATGTCCAACTCTTTGTGACTCCCGGGACTGTAGCCCGCCAGACTCCTCTGTCCATAGGATTTTCCAGGCTAGAATACTGGAGTGGGTTGCCATCTCCTCCTCCAGGGAATCTTCCTGACCTTGGGATCAAACCTGTGTCTCCTGCATTGGTAGGTGGATTCTTTACCACTGAGCCACCAGAGAAGCCCCATGGCATTGAGTTGAGATTAAATCATCCATTTAGAATGTATTCTTTGGAAAGGTAACAGAAAGGCTGTGACATTGATTAAGAATTTGAATTCTGGGAGACTTGGGTTCAAACCTAAGCTCTGCTGCTCTGTGGCAGCACGGTGTCAACTGGAAAAAAAAAAAAAAAAGCACAACCTAAAAGTTGAGTTACTTTTTATTGAGTAGATTTTCTGAGGACTTAAGCCTTGAAGACAACATCTCAGATAGCTCTGGGGAAGGACTCTGAAGAGGTCAGGAAGGATATATAGGATAGACAGGAGTTTTTGCAACAAAAAATGGGGAGTCAGAACATTAAAAGATCACAGTGCTATGCATAAAGGAAAATCAGGCATCTCAAGTTAAGGAATTCAGTGCCTTTCTATGTATGGGAAAATGCAAGAGTTTGGATTCACTGAAATCATTCTTTTGATATGCACCTTGGTTATCTAGAAGGCTAAAAACCAGCCTTTTCCCATCCTGAATCCCCTCATGGTACACAGTTGAGGGTGGCTGTGGTGGCTGATGGCTTGCTGGCCTCAACATCTTTTGTTTGCTGAAATAGCAGGCATCATTTTTCATCCTCCAGGATTTCCATCTGTAGGAAGTGGAGCTAGATAACAGCTGATAATAACAATTAGTCATTATATTGTGATGAGCATGGTCTGGGTTCTGTTCTAAGTGCCTTCAATATGTGAACTCACTGGATTGTCACAAACACTCTGGGAGGGATGGTACCATCACTATTCACATTTGTTCAGAGTAGGGAACAAAGTCACTGAGCCTAAGAAAGTGAAGGAGTGGGGAATCCAGATTCCACAAAGGGCGCTCCTAGCCCACTGCCTGCCAGGGTGCATGAGTGTTTCTCACCCTTTTAATTTGAGAAAAGTGACAGCGAGAGATGAGGGATACACTTGAGGTCCTCCAGCCTCACACGTCTGGAAGTACGTCTTCCTATTTTTTTTTCTCTCTCCTGCTCACTTTTCTGGCATAGATTTTTGTTTACCCAAAGTAATGTTTAGTCAAAGGGCTTCCTAGGTGATGCAAGTGGTAAAGAATCTGCCTGCCAATGCAGGAGATGCAAGAGACACAGGTTTGATCCCTGGGTCAGGCAGATCCCCTGGAGGAGGAAATGGTAACCCACTCCAGTATTCTTGCCTGGAGAATCCCATGGACTGAGGAGCCTGGCGGACTACAGTCCACTAGAGTGCAGAGTTTGACATGACTGAGAATACACACAGACTATATTTAGTCATAACAAATATGAGCAAAGAGAAAAGAGCCAGAGTAGTCCAAGGATTGCCATTCAATAGGTGCATTGAATTTCGGTCAGTGTTTACTTTTTCCCCTCTTGGGAACTGGTCATTCAGCTTTCAGAAAGACAAGGGCCTTCCAGTTTTCTTTATTCCTTATGCCAGTGATTATGAGCGTGTCCAGGCTTTGACTTCTAAGTGGCAACTGTGGTCTTTCAGTTGCAGATGCTATCACTTCATTCTGCACAAGTTGGAGGAAAAGGTGGCCCAGAAAATGCCTGTCATCGGTTGAGGAACACAGACGGTGGACTGGAATTCTTGTCCAGGGGATTGAATTCTACTAAGTTTTATTTGGAAAATTGATATTAATGTCTTACTCTGCTCTGGGCCTATTTATATTCATCTGAAGAAGTAAAAATTCAAATAAGGAACCTTTGTTCCTGCCACAGTAACAGAAAAAAAAAATCAGTTTTATAGTAATCATGTTCACATTTTACAGTGTATTAAGATTTTTCAATCAATCGGGGATTCCCCTGTGGCTCAGATGGTAAAGAGTCTGCCTGCAATGAGGGAGACCTGGATTCGATCCCTGGGTTGGGAAGATCCCCTGGAGAAGGGAAAGGCTACCCACTCCAGTAATCTGGCCTGGAAAATTCCATGGACTATATAATCCATGGGTTTGCAAAGAGTCGGTTACTATTGAACGACTTTCAATCAATTGATCAAGATTTTTCAAGTATTTGAGCTTTATACTTATGAAAAGAGATGTTGTTGGGCTTTTAAGAGAGAAGTAGAGAGATGCTCAGGATGGCCAAGTGACTTGGCTATGGGCTTGCTGTTAGGAAACAGCAGGGGACAGAGTGATCCGGCTGTATGGTGCCTAGTTCACTGGTTCCCTTTCATCTCCCCATGACAAACTTCTCTGGATTCCTGCCTTCAAGCTGGGTATTCCTCCTGGATGAGGGAGTGTTTTATCTATAACTCTTTATAAACAAAGGGAAGAAAAGATGTTTTTTGCTTTTTTCTTTAAGTCATTCTCTGAGTTTTTGCTCTGTATCCATTTCTAATTTTCTCCTCCCATCCGTTTCTCACTCACTTTCTCTTCTTATCTTTTACTCCTCTTTCTTTCCCATTGTTATTATCATGTTAGAAAAGCACAAAATGTTAAAATCTAGCACAGGAGTTGGAAGACTATGGCTCATTGTCTGATTTTTATTTTATTTTTTATTTTTATTTATTTATTTTTTTGAGGAGGGAACGCAACAGTCTTTACTTTTCAGTGATTATCAGTACAATATCAGTACACCAAGTAGTAACATGTAACAAGTTAGTGAACTCTACCATCTAGTAAGTTTGAATAAGAGAAACTAAGAGCAGCCCAACACTAGGACCCATTATTCTAATCCTTGGCTGGAAAGGACTATTTTAAGGCTGGCTGCTGTTTCATGTGGGTCACAAATAACTATTTACTACTTTTTCATAGATAAAGCCCCTGACCTTCAAGAAAGATTTAGGGAAAAAAACATTTTAATCCCTTTCTTTCTTAAGAAAATTGGGTTTTTAAAAACTATCTAAGAAAGAAAAAGTCAGTGTTGATAATATGCTGCTTGAGTGAAAAGGCATAGAAAACACACAACATCTATCCACTAAATTTCTAAGAAATATGAGGTAAAAAGATACAATCTTTGGATAAGCTCTAAGCCTGTACAAAGAATCTATGTTTTCGATTCTGCAAAAAGTGAAGGGACCTACTATATAATGTACAGAAATAATTTAATGCCTTTTCATAAGATATAACTCAAGCCTTGCTAAATGAAACCTCACGTTCCATGAAGGCATTCAAAACGCCAATCCACGGAACAGGCACTTTTCTTCTCCCTCTATCCATTTATGCGGTAGTTCTCATGGATTTCTGGCCGGATGTCGCAGACAAAGGCCAAGAGGTTATCCAAGACTTCATCCCTGTTCTGCCGGAAGTAGGTCTGAAGGATGGTCGTCTTCTCCTGGGTGTCCTTCTCTACTTCAGTGCTGCAACTGCCAGGGGATCCCAGAGCCGCAGCTTCCTTGCCTTGAACTCCTTCTCCCTCTGCAGGCGGTACTGTTCACTTTCAGCCTGGGCTTCTTCCTTGGCCTGCTTCAACCTCCGGCTCTTTCGCTTGCGGCCGTCGGACACCTTCTCGGCGGCCCGTTTCTCCGCCTGGAGCAGCTGCTGAATGCCCTGCGACTGACTGGCCATGGCTATGGCGCCGGCGCCGGCGGAGGCGACTCCGAGGCGGCAGATGACGGCCTGCTCAGCCGAATCCATTGTCTGATTTTTAAAATAAAGTTAAAACATAACTTTAATGAGATATAATTTAAATACTATAAAATTCATACATGTAAAATGTAAAATTCAGTGGGTTTTGGTATATTCATAGTCTTTAAAAATATCAGTTTTATTTCTTTGGCTGTGCTGGGTCTCTGTTGTGGCATGCCAACTCTTTATTTGTGGTGTGCGGACTCCAGAGTACATGATATTCATAGAATTTCACAACCATGACCATTATCTAATTTTAGAACAATCTTATCATCCCTAAAGAAACCCTACACTCATTAGCAGTCATTCTCTGTTACCCCAATGTCCTTCCTGCCTCTGGTCCTGGCCCTAAGCAACTACTAATTTACTTTTTTTCCTCCATGGATTTGCCTATTCTGGATATTTCAAGCATATGGAATCATACAAATGCATTCTTTTGTGACTGGCTTCTTTTATGAAGCATGATGTTTTCAAGGTTCATCCATGTTGAAACATGAATTAGTAGTTCATTCTTTTTCACTGTTGAGTAATATTCCACTGTTGAAATGTTCCACTGAAATGATAAATGATGTACATTCATCATTTAATGTTCAGTTGAAATACATTTGGCTTGTTTTCATCTTTTGGCTATTGGGATAATGTTGCTATGAGCATGTACATACAATTTTATGCATGGACATGGTCTTTATTTGCCTTTGGTGTATATCTAAGAATGGAGTGCTAGATCATATGGTGACTTTGTGTCTAATATTTTGAGGAACTGCCAGTCTGCTTTTCAAAGTTTAACAACCCCATCAAAAATGAATGGAAGTTCAGTTTCTTCACATCCTTGCCCAAATGTGTTATTTATTTATTTATTTTTGATGTGGACCATTTTTTAAAAGTCTTTATTGAATTTGTTACAATATTGCTTCTGTTTTAAGTTTTGTTTTTTTGGTCCTGAGGCATGGGAGATCTTAAATCCCTGACCAAGGATTGAACCTGCACCCCTGCATTGGAAGGCAGACTTGATTGCCAGGGAAATCCCAAACATGTTACTTTTTATTTTGCTTTTCAATGCTTTTTTGGACTGGTATTTTGCCCATTTTATTTTATCCATTCTAGTGAGTGTTAAGTAATATCTTCAAGATACATTTCTTATCAATGTGTGATTTGCAAATAATCTCTCCCATTTTGTGGATTGTATGTTCACTTTTAAGATAGTGGTCTTTGAAACATGGGTTTTAAATTTTTATGAATTCTAATTTATCTGTTTTTGTTTTTCCTTTTATCAGTTATATTTTTGGTGTCCCTTCTAAAAAACCATTGCCCTATCCAAAGCATACAAAGATTTACTCTCATGTTTTCTTTAGGATTTTGATAATTTTAGCTATTATATTTAAGTCTATGATCCATTTTGAGCTTGACTTTTTTTATAGGGGTGAGTTAGGGGTTCAACTTCACTTTTACATGTGGATATACAGTTGTCCCAATACCATTTGTTGAAAATAGTATTCCTTTCCCATTGAGCTGTTTTGGCATGTTTCTTGGGAATCACTTGACATAGTCATTCACCTCTATTTTAATAGCTGGTATTAATATTCTCATATATTGTTCTTATATTTTATTTCATTTACAGCAACACCATTGGCCCACTATTACATACACAGAGCAAAGATAATGTAAAAGCTGGAATGAGTTTATTTTTAAACTTGGAGGAAGGAAAGCCTTTCTGAGTAGGATCGAAAATCCAGAAGCTGTAAAAGACAGATACATATGACAAAGAGGAAATTTTGAATTATCTTTGGCACATAAGACCTGAAACAAAGTAAACCCAACAAATCTAGGGAACATATCTGCAACACATATAACAAGTGAAAGGCTAGTTTCTAAATCTTTAAAGAGCTCAGGTAAATTAATAAGGTAAAGTAATAGGGAAGCCAGTAAAGAAGATCTACAAATAGTTTAAAGGAAAAAAAAATGGACATGAAACGTGTTAAAGAATGCTCAGCACATCTCTTAGTAAAGGAAATTCAAAATAAACATTAGGAGATACCAAGTCACTTCATTAGAAAAGCAAACATTAAAACAGTGTTTCTTGCAAAGTGCTGAAATGACTGGGGTGATGGGTGGGGAACAGGTTTTCTTACACATTGTGAAAGTTTAGGCTGTTGCTATGTTACGGATTGTATTCTGCCAATGTTCATGAAAATACAAATCGCTCATATTTTGATCTAACAATTCCATTGGAATGAATATACTTGCTAGAGTCAACAAAACAAAACACAAAAACAAACTTGGGTATTACTATTCCCACTTTTTAAAAAGAATTTTTATTGGCATGGAAATTTTTTCCACCCCCTCACTTTCAGTCTGTATGTGTCTGAAGTGGGTCTCTTGTTCAGTTCAGTTCAGTCACTCAGTCGTGTCCAACTCTTTGTGACCCCATGGACTGCAGCACGCCAGGACTCCCTGTTCATCACCAACTCCCGGGGTTTACCCAAACTCATGTCCATTGAGTTGGTGATGCCATCCAGCCATCTCATCCTCTGTCATCCCCTTCTCCTCCCACCTTCAATCTTTCCCAGCATCAGGGTCTTTTCAAATGAGTCAGCTCTTCGCATCAGGTGGCCAAAGTATTGGATTTTCAGCTTCAGTTCAACATCGGTCCTTCCAATGAGTATTCAGGGCTGATCTCCTTTAGGATGGACTGGTTGGATCTCCTTGCAGTCCAAGGGTCTCTCAAGAGTCTTCTCCAACACCACAGTTTAAAAGCATCAATTCTTCAGCGCGCGACATTCTTTATAGTCCAACTCTCACATCCATACATGACTACTAGAAGAACCATAGCCTTGACTACATGGAACTTTGTTGGCAAAGTAATGCCTCTGCTTTTTAATATACTGTCTAGGTTGGTCATAACTTTCCTTCCAAGGAGTAAGCATCTTTTAATTTCATGGCTGCAATCACCATCTGCAGTGATTTTGGAGCCCCCCAAAATAAAGTCAGCCACTGTTTATACTGTTTCCCCATCTATTTGCCATTAAGTGATGGGACTGGATGCCATGATCTTAGTTTTTTGAATGTTGAGCTTTAAGCCAACTTTTTCACTCTCCTCTTTCACTTTCATCAAGAGGCTCTTTAGTTCTTCTTCACTTTCTGCTTTCTTCACATTCTGCTTCACTTCACTTCTTCACTATCTAAGGGTGGTGTCTTCTGCATATCTGAGGTTATTGATATTTCTCCCGGCAATCTTGATTCCAGCTTGTGCTTCCTCCAGCCCAGCATTCCTCATGATTCATATAAGTTAAATAAACAGGGTGACAATATACAGCCTTGACGTACTCCTTTTCCTATTTGGAACCAGTCTGTTGTTCCATGTCTGGTTCTAACTGTTGCTTCTTGACCTGCACACAGATTTCTCAAGAGGCAGGTCAGGTGACCTGGTATTCCCATCTCTTTCAGAATTTTCCACAGTTTATTGTGATCCACACAGTCAAAGGTTTCAGCATAGTCAATAAAGCAGAAATAAATGTTTTTCTGGAACTCTCTTGCTTTGTCAATGATCCTGTGGATGTTGGCAATTTGATCTCTTGTTCCTCTGCTTTTTCTAAAACCAGCTTGAACATCTGGAAGTTCACAGTTCTCGTATTGCTGAAGCCTGGCTTGGAGAATTTTGAGCACTACTTTAATAGCATGTGAGATGAGTGCAATTATGCAGTAGTTTAAGCATTCTTTAGATTGCTTTTCTTTGGGATTGGAATGAAAACTGAGCTTTTCCAGTCCTGTGGCCACTGCTGAGTTTTCCAAATTTGCTGACATATTGAGTGCAGCACTTTCACAGCATCATGTTTCAGGATTTGAAATAGCTCAACTGGAATTCCATCACCTCCACTAGCTTTGTTTGTAGTGATGCTTTCTAAGGCCCACTTGACTTCACATTCCAGGATGTCTGGCTCTAGGTGAGTGATCACACCATCATGATTATCTGGGTCTTGAAGATCTTTTTTGTACAGTTCTTCTGTGTATTCTTGCCCCCTCTTCTTTATATCTCTGCTTCTGTCAGGTCCATACCATTTCTGTCCTTTATTGAGCCCATCTTTGCATGAAATGTTCCCTTGGTATCTCTAATTTTCTAGAAGAGATCTCTAGTCTTTCCCATTCTGTTGTTTTCCTTTATTTCTTTGCTTTGATCACTGAGGAAGGCTTTCTTTTCTCTCCTTGCTCTTCTTTGAAACTCTGCATTCAAATGGGTATATCTTTCCTTTTCTCCTTTGCTTTTCACTTCTTTTCTTCTCACAGCTATTTGGAAGACCTCCTCAGACAACGATTTTGCTTTTTTGCATTTCTTTTTCTTGGGAATGGTCTTGCTCCCTGTCTCCTGTACAATGTCACAAACCTCCATCCATAGTTCATCAGGCACTGTGTCTATCAAATCTAGTACCTTAAATCTATTTCTCACTTCCATTGTATAATCATAAGGGATTTGATTTAGGTCATATCTGCATGGTCTAGTGGTTTTCCTCACTTTCTTCAATTTAAGTCTGAATTTGGCAATAAGGAGATCATGATCTGAGCCACAGTCAGCTCCCAGTCTTGTTTTTGCTGACTCTATGGAGCTTCTTCATCTTTGGCTGCAAAAATATAATCAATCTGATTTCAGTGCTGACCATTTGGTGATGTCCATGTGTTGTTGGAAGACGGTGTTTGCTATGACCAGTGCGTTCTCTTGGCAAAACTCTATTAGACTTTGCCCTGCTTCACTCTGTACTCCAAGACCAAATTTGCCTGTTACTCCAGGTGTTTCTTGACTTTGTACTTTTGCATTCCAGTCCCCTATAATGAAAAGGACATCTTTTTTATGTGTTAGTTCTAAAAGGTCTTGTAGGTCTTCATAGAACTGTTCAGCTTCTTCAACATTACTGGTCAGGGCATAGACTTGGATTACTGTGATGTTGAAT